TCCCCAATCCAGCTTCCTGCTAATGTTCTAGGAAAGGCAGTGGAACATGGTCCAAGTACTTGGATCCCTGCCATCCATGTGGAAGACTAGAATGGAGTTCCTACTCCTGGCTTTGGCCTGTCCCAGACCTGGCTGGCTGTTGAAGTCATTTAGGGAGTGAACCAGTCAGTGTATAGAAGTTCTCTTTCTCTCTGTCTCTCCCTCCGTCTCTTTCAAATAAATAAATGAATCTTATTTTATAAATGAAAATACAGGGGCAGGCACTGTGGCACAATGGATTAAAGTCCCAGCTTGCAGTGCCAGCATCCCACACAGGTGGTGGTTCAAGTCCTGGCTACTCCATTTCCAATCCAGCTTCCTGATGATGAGCCTGAAAGCAGCGGAGGATGGCCCAAATCCTTGGGCCCCTGCACCCATGTAGAAGAACCAGAAGAAGCTCCTAGCTCCTGGCTTCACATCACTCAGCTGCAGCTGTTGAAGCCACCTGGGGAGTGAACCAGCGGATGGAAGACCTCTCTTTCTGTGCATCTCTACCTCTCTCTGTAACTCTGTCTTTAAAATAAATAAAATAAATCTTTAAAGAAATGAAAAGACAAATTTCAGTATTTATCCCTAGACTCACTGCAGAATAATTTATCTCTTACCATTAAAAAAAAGCTTAGAAAACAACATCTTGAGTCTATGAGAAGATACAAACTCAGATCAGTTTTACATTAAAAACACACAGCCACTTGGCTTAAGGATTCTAGCTAAGACATTTGACAATAATATCCTGGATTGTGGGACCATCACCTCTCAATGGAACATCCATCCCAACGGACTAGAATCAAACACCCAGCTGTGTATGTACCTTGGCCTGAAGATGGATATTGAATGAGCAACCAGTTCTCCATACAAACATGTTTTGCAAGGTATAGATAAGAAGATAAAGCATTCTGACATTTTTCAATCAAATGCCAGCATATGGCAGCTCTGTAGAGTAACTGGCAAAAACAAAAACAAATATTGAACCCATATGCTGGAAAGACAAGACAGCATTTTCTCAGCAATGCAAATCTTAATTCAAACCTGAGCTTGATTTGGACACTGTATTTATTTATGTCAATCATAAATAAAACTCACATCTGTGAGTTTTATTTTCTGTGTCCAGTAAATTTCATCCTTCAAAACCAAATATTCAGAAAGGTTTTGGCAGGAACTTCACAATCCCAACTGCGGAAGTCACTTGAGGCCCAAAGCAGATAATATTTGATGAAAAATCCAGCTCCATTCGGGGACATTTAGGGTTTTTTTTTTTCTCCAATACTTTCATTGTGGTAAAATATACACAAAATTGAGCATTTTAACATTTTTGTGTACAGTTCAGTGGCACTAGGTACATTCACCCTGCCGTGCAGCCATCGCCACTGTCCTCTCCAGAATCATTTCATCAGCCCCAAGGAGGAGTCGTTTTAGGCTATACATATACTTGGCTTTTTTCCAGTTGATTCTTTCAAAATGCATTTTTGAAGAAACTTTTGATTCTTCCACAGTTCCTAAAAAGAATGTGTATCTCAGATCGCCATAGAAATTCAATTTGTTCACATGGATGCTTTCCTATTTGTCTTTTTAAATTTGAATTTATTTATTTTCATTTTATTTGAAAGGCAGGGAGACAGAGAGATATTTCAACTGATGGCTCACTTCCCAAATGCTCACAACAGCCAGGGCTAGGCCAGGATGAAGCCAGGAACTGGTTGCTCATGGCTGTAGGAGGCTTGTGTGCCAGGACTGTGAAAACACTGAGGCTGTGTGGGAGCACATAGGGTGTGGCTGGGACATTGGGCAGTCACTGTGGGAGGCTCCACACAATCAGGGCTCCCTGGTTACCTGGCAAGAGACATTGCTTGGGAATCTGAGTTTATACTGAGAACTTCACAGATCTTTTGTGTGGTCCTTGTGGCAGAGCAAAGGAATAATATACCACTGGGGCTAGCACCCAGGCACTGGTCTCCTTTGAGGAAAGCCGCTCAACTGAGTCTATGCCAACAGACAAGAAGAAACTTCCCCTCTGTGTGTAAATATATATATATATATACATATATATATATATATATATTTACCATGCTAAAAAAGTGTGCATCACCTCAGACACGCCCTTCACCCTGGAGCACTAAACAGAGCTTGGTGGCCACTCCCATCATAAGCCTCTAGGTATTCCATGAAAGCAGATACTCCATTAATCCAATCAGACATAGTCTAAAGATAAAAGCTGCCACGGCAAAAAATCAAAGAAACCTATGAGTGTGCCCACAAATGCTGAATAACGAACATACCAATGCAAGAAACAAGAACAAGGAAGACAATATGACACCCCCAAAAGAACACAACACCTGAATACTAGATTGTGAAGATGATGAGATTGAAGAAATGCCAGAAATGGAATTCAAAGAATTCATCATAGGATCACTTAGAAGTAATCAGAAGCAAACGCATGAACTAATGAAATTCATACATGACATAAAAGAAAAGTAATCCCACGAAATTGAGATCTTAAAGAGAAATCCAAATGAAATCTTGGAAATGAAGAATTTAATAGAACAAATAAAAAAGGCAGTGGAGAGCCTTAACAACAGAATTGGTGAAGCAGAAGAAAGAATATCCAACTTAGAAGGCAAAGCACATTGGCCAGCACCACGGTTCACTAGGCTAATCCTCCGCCTGTGGTGCCGGCACGCTGGGGTTCTAGTCCCGGTTGGGGTGCCGGATCCTGTCCTGGTTGCTTTTCTTCCAGTCCAGCTCTCTGCTGTGGCCTGGGAAGGCAGTGGAGGATGGCCCAAGTGCTTGGGCCCTGCACCCGCATGGGTGACCATGAGGAAGTACCTGGCTCCTGGCTTCGGATCAGCACAGTGAGCTGGCCGTAGTGGCCACTTGAGGGGTGAACCAAAGGAAAAAGGAAGACCTTTCTCTCTGTATCTCTCTCCCTTACTGTCTAACTCTGCCTGTCGCTACTATATATTATAGGACGAATCAAAAAGAGAGAGAGAGAGAGAAGACAAAAAGACAAAACACAGGAAATTATATAGTCAAAACAAAAACAAGAAGAGGAAATTAGAAAACTGAAAAACACTGTTGGGAATCCATCCACAGGGTACTATCAAATGACCCAATATATGGGTTCTAGGAGTTCCTGAAAGCATGGAAAGAGAGAATGGATTAGAAGGTCTTTGTAGTGAAATCATAACAGAAAATTTCCCCAATTTGGAGAAAGAAAGGGACATCCAAGGACAGGAAGCACATAGAACGCCTAATACACATGACCAAAAAAGATCTTCAACCCAGCACATTTTAATCAAACTCTCCAGAGTAAAACATAAAGAAAAGATTCTAAAATGTGCATGAGAGAATGCCAGATTACTTTCAGAGGATCTCCAATTAGATTCACAATGGACTTCTCATCAGAAACCCTACAGGCTAGAGAATGATGATACATATTCCAAGTCATTTTTTTTTAAGATTTATTTATTTAATTGAAAGAGTTGCACAGAGAGAGATAGAGGGAGAGGGAGAGGGAGAGGGAGAGAGAAAGAGGGGGGTGGGAGGGGGAGAGAGAGAGAGAGAGAGAGTGTTCTTCCATCTGCTGGTTCACTCCAAAACTGGCCGCAATGGTTGGAGCTATGCCGATCCGCAGCCAGGAGCCAGGAGCTTCTTCTGGGTCTCCCACATGGGTGTAGGGCCCCAAGGACTTGGGCCATCTTCTACTACTTTCCCAAGCCACAGCAGAGAACTGGATCAGAAGAGGAACAGCCAGGACCTAGAACCAGCGCCCATATGGGATGCCGACGCTTCAGGCCAGGGCGTTAACCTGCTGCACCACAGCACCGGCCTCACAAGTCTTAAAAGAAAAAACTGTCAACCCAGAATATTATACCCTGCAAAGTTCTCATTTATGAATGAAAGTGAAATAAAGACCTTCCATGACAAACAGAAGCTGAAAGAATTTGTCATCAGTCGTCCAGCCCTGTAGAAGATGCTTAAGGATGTGCTGCACACAGAAACACAGAAACATGGTCATCACTACAGAAGAATGTAAAGGAAGGAAAGCTCCCAGTAAAAGTACAATGGAAATCCAAAGTAAAAAATGGTAATATTTATGGAAAAATGGCAGGGCAAAGTAATTACTTATCAATAGTCACCTTGAATGTAAATGGTCTTAACTCTCCAGTTAAAAGACACAGACTGGCTGAATGGATTAAAAAAACAAAACTCATTTTTTGCTGCCTACAAGAAACATAACTCACCAACAAAGATGCATGCAGATTAAAAGTGAAAGGATGGAAAAAGATATTTCATGTTAATAGAAACCCAAAAAGAGCTGGTATAGCCATCCTACTATCAGAGAGAATAGACTTTAACACAAAACTATTAAAAGACAAAGTAGGACACTGTGTAATGACTAAGGGATCAATTCAACAGTAAGATGTGACTATTATGCACATATATGCACCTAATTACAGGGGTGCATTTAAAAGAATATTACAAGGGGGCCAGTGATGTGGCGGCGCAGTGGGTTAATGCCCTAGCCTGAAGCACTGGTGTCTCATATGGGTGCTGGTTCAAGACCTGGCTGCTCCACTTCCATTCCAGTTCTCTGGTATGTCCTGGGAAAGCAGTAGAAGATGGCACAAGTCCTTGGGGCCCTGCACCCATATGGGAGACCTGGAGGAAGCTCCTGGCTCCTGACTTCGGATCAGTGCAGCTCTGGCCGTTGTGGCCAATTGGGGAGTGAACCAACGGATAGAAGACCTCTCTCTCTCTCTCTGCCTCTCCTTTCTCTGTGTAACTCTGACTCTCAAATAAATAAATAAATAAATATTTTTTAAAAAATAAAAGAATATGGCCTCTGCCTCCGCCTCCTGGGGGAGGGGGGCCGAGGGAGGGGACTGTTGCTGATCTCTGGATGTTCTGGGTAGTCTGAGGAGGAGAGTATGAGGGGAGCTCTAGCCCGGGCACGGCCGGGCTTCAGGGGCTGAGGCGCCGCTGCCACCGCCGCCGCCATCTGACTCGCTATGCCCGCGAGCCCCAGCGCGCGGATGGTGCCGGTGTGGCTCGGGTGTTGATCCGCCTGTCCCCTCCCCCCTCTTCCCCTCCCCCACGCGGTGGTCTCCCCTTCGACCCCGGCCCCGGCAGAGCCATGTCTCGGGGCGGCTCCTGCCCACACCTGTTGTGGGACGTGAGGAAAAGGTCCCTCGGGCTGGAGGACCCGTCCCGGCTGCGGAGCCGCTACCTGGGAAGAAGAGAATTTATCCAAAGATTAAAACTTGAAGCAACTCTAAATGTGCATGATGGCTGTGTTAATACAATCTGTTGGAATGACACTGGAGAATATATTTTATCTGGCTCAGATGACACCAAGTTAGTAATTAGTAATCCTTATAGCAGAAAGGTTTTGACAACAATTCGTTCAGGGCATTGAGCAAATATATTTAGTGCAAAGTTCTTACCGTGCACAAATGATAAACAGATTGTATCCTGCTCTGGAGATGGAGTAATATTTTACACCAATGTTGAGCAAGATGCAGAAAGTAATAGACAATGCCAATTTACGTGCCATTATGGAACTACTTATGAGATTATGACTGTACCAAATGACCCTTATACTTTTCTATATCTTGTGGTGAAGATGGAACTGTTAGGTGGTTTGATACACGCATCAAAACTAGCTGCACAAAAGAAGATTGCAAAGATGACATTTTGATTAACTGTCACCGTGCTGCCACCTCTGTAGCTCTTTGTCCACCAATACCATATTATCTTGATGTAGGTTGTTCTGATAGCTCAGTACGAATATATGATCGTCGAATGCTGGGCACAAGAGCTACAGGGAATTATGCAGGGCGAGGAACTACTGGAATGGTTGCCCGTTTTATTCCTTCCCATCTTAATAATAAATCCTGCAGAGTGACATCTCTATGTTACAGTGAAGATGGCCAAGAGATTCTCGTTAGTTACTCTTCAGATTACATATACCTTTTTGACCCAAAAGATGACACAGCGCGAGAATTTAAGACTCCTTCTGCAGAAGAGAGAAGAGAAGAGTTACGACAACCGCCAGTTAAGTGTTTGAGACTTCGTGGTGATTGGTCAGATACTGGACCCAGAGCAAGGCCTGAGAGTGAACGAGAACGAGATGGAGAACGAAGTCCCAACGTGTCATTGATGCAGAGAATGTCTGACATGTTATCAAGATGGTTTGAAGAAGCAAGTGAAGTTGCACAGAGTAATAGAGGACGAGGAAGATCTCGACCCAGAGGTGGAACAAGTCAGTCAGATGTTTCAGCTGTTCCTACTGTCCCATCAAGTCCTGATTTGGAAGTGGGTGAAACTGCAATGGATGTAGATGCTCCTTCTGATCAGTTGCTTCAGCCATCTACATCTTCTACGGTATCAGCTCCAGCTCACTTAACCTCATCTTCCACAAAAAGCCCTCATTCTACTTCTTTGTTATCATCTCCAGACAGTGAACAGAGGCAGTCTGCTGAGGCTTCTGGGCACCATGCACATCATCAGTCTGATAACAATAATGAAAAGCTGAGCCCCAAACCAGGGACAGGTGAACCAGTTTTAAGTTTGCACTACAGCACAGAAGGAACAACTACAAGCACAATAAAACTGAACTTTACAGATGAGTGGAGCAGTACAGCCTCCAGTTCTAGAGGAAATGGGAGCCATTGCAAATCTGAGGGTCAGGAGGAATCCCTGGCCCCACAGAGCTCAGGGCCATCACCAGAAGGCGATAATGATACAACTTTTGAAGAATCAACAGAACATGTGACAAAAAGTCAAGAAGGCACATCTGCAGAAAACCTAGATGAGAACAGGACAGATAAAGCACAATCAGATACATTTACAGCTGAGCCATTGGATTCCAACTCAGGAGAAAGGAATAACCTCAATCTTGATAGCCCCTGTGAGGTTCCAGAAGAATCCTCTTTGTCTGCAAAAGGCAAGGAACCAGAAACTTCAGATCAGACTAGCACTGAGAGTACTTCCAATCCAAATAACACCAATGCTGAGCCTCAGGCCCAAACAGAAGCCATCGAGCCTTCAGCTCATGAGGAAACAGCCAGGGACGCTGCTCTTCAGGACACAGATGATAGTGATGATGACCCAGTCCTGATCCCAGGTGCAAGGTATCGAGCAGGACCTGGTGATAGACGCTCTGCTGTTGCCCGCATTCAGGAGTTCTTCAGACGGAGAAAAGAAAGGAAAGAAATGGAAGAATTGGATACTTTGAACATTAGAAGGCCACTAGTAAAGATGGTTTATAAAGGCCATCGCAACTCCAGGACAATGATAAAAGAAGCCAATTTCTGGGGTGCTAACTTCGTCATGAGCGGCTCTGACTGTGGCCGTATCTTCATCTGGGATCGGCACACTGCCGAGCACTTGATGCTTCTGGAAGCCGATAACCACGTGGTAAACTGCCTGCAGCCACATCCCTTCGACCCAATTCTAGCCTCGTCTGGCATAGATTATGACATAAAGATCTGGTCACCACTAGAAGAGATTTTTAACCGAAAACTTGCTGATGAAGTTATAACTCGAAATGAACTCATGCTGGAAGAGACTAGAAATACCATTACAGTTCCAGCCTCTTTCATGTTAAGGATGTTGGCTTCACTGAATCATATCCGAGCAGACCGGTTGGAGGGTGACAGATCAGAAGGCTCTGGCCAGGAGAATGAAAATGAGGACGAGTAATAACCACCTCTTTTGGCAAGCACTCAGATATTCTGAAATTTGTATAAGACAATTTATTATATTTTTTTTCTTTACAGAACTTTAGTGCAATTTTAAGGTTATGATTTTTTGGAGTTTTTCCCCTTTTTGGGGATAACCTAACATTGGTTTGGAATGAGTGTGTGCATGAATTTGGGAGAGTGTGTGTAAAACAAAACTAGCAAAATGTTTTTAAAACCTTTTGTGTGTATGAGAAGTGCTAGAAAATGCAAAGTGCAATATTTCCCCTAACCTTCAGATGTGGGAGCTTGGATCAATGTTGAAGAATAATTTCCATTATAGTGAAAATGTTGGTTCAAATAAATTTCTACACTTGCAAAAAAAAAAAAAATAAAAGAATATTACAGTAGTACCACCCTATTTTCAGCAACGGAGAGATCAACCAGACAGAAAACCAGCAAGGAAACAGCAGAATTAATCAACACTATAGACCAAATGGACCTAACAGATATCTACAGAACTTTTCATCCTACAGTTGCAAAATATGCATTCTTCTCACCTCTGCATGGAACCTTCTCTAGGACAGACCACATGATAGGCCATAAAACAAGTCTCAGTAAATTTAAAAAAATCAGAATCATACCATGCATTTTTTTTTTTTTTTTGGACAGGCAGAGTTAGACACAGAGAAAGAGGCAGAGAGAAAGGTTTTCCTTTTCCATTGGTTCACCCCCCAAATGGCCACTACAGCTGGCACACTGTGCCGACCCAAAGCCAGGAGCCAGGTGCTTCCTCCTGGTCTCTCATGCGGGTGCAGGGCCCAAGCACTTGGGCCATCTTCCACTGCCTTCCTGGGCCACAGCAGAGAGCTGGCCTGGAAGAGGAGCAACCAGGACAGGATCCGGCACCCCAACCGGGACTAGAACCTGGGGTGCTGGCGCCACAGGTGGAAGATTAGCCAAGTGAGCCGCGGCACTGGCCCATATCATGCTTCTTATGGACCACAATGCAATGCAGCTGGAAATCAGCAACTCAGGAAGCTCTAGAGCATATGCAAACACATGGAGACTGAACAACATGCTCCTGAATGAACAGTTGGTCACAGAAGAAATCTAAAGAGAAATCAAAAAATTTCAGGAAACAAATGAAAATGACAACACAACGTATCAAAACTTACGGGATATATCAAAAGTAGTGTTAAGAGTAAAGTTTATAGGAATTGGTGCCTAAATCAAGAAATTAGAAAGGCACCAAATAAATGAGCTATCAGTGCATCTCAAGTATCTAGAAAAACAATAGCAAACCAAACCTAAAACTAGTAGAAAAGAAATAAAATTAGAGAAGAAATCAACAAAATTGAATCAAAAACAATATAAAAGATCAGCAAAATGAAGAGCTGCTTTTTTGAAAAAAATAAACAAAATTGACACACCATTGGCCCAACTAACCAAAAAAAGGAGAGAGAAGACCCAAATCAATAAAATTAGAGATGAAAAAGAAATGTAACAATAGACAGCACACAAATAAAAAGAATCATTGGAAACCACTATAAAGAGCTGTATGCCAACAAACTGTGAAAGCCAGAAGAATTGGATAGATTTTTGGACACATACAACCTACCTAAATTGAGTCATGAAGACATAGAAAACCTTAACAGACCCATTACCAAGATGGAAATTGATTTAGTAATAAATACTCTCCCAATAATGAAAAGCCTAGGACCAGATGGCTTCACTGCTGAATTCTCCCAGACATTTAAAGAAGAACTAACTCCACCTCTTCTCAAGTTATTCAAAACAATTGAAAGGGAGGGAATCCCCCTAAATTCTTTCACTAAAACCAGCATCACTTTAATTCCTAAACCTGTAAAAGATACAACAGAGCACAAGAACTATAGACCAATTTTCCTGATGAACATAGATGCAAAAATCCTCAACAAAATTCTGGCCAATTGAATCCAACAACACATCAGAAAGATCATCCACCCAGACCAAGTGGGATTTATCCTTGGTATGCAAGGATGGTTTGACATTCCCAAATCAATGTGATATATCACATTAACAAAGTGCTGAGAAAAAACATGATTATCTCAATAGATGCAGAGAAATCATTTGTTAAAATACAACTGCATTTCATGATGAAAACTCCAAGCAAACTGGGTACAGAGGAACATTCCTCAACATAATCAATTTATGACAAATCCATGGCCACCGTCCTATTGAATGGGGAAAAGTTGTAAGTATTCCCACTAAGATCTGGAACCAGACAAGGATGTCCTCTCTCACCATTGCTATTTTAGCCAGAGCCATTAGACAAGAAAAAGAAATCAAAGGGATTCAAATTGGGAATGAGGAAGTCAAACTATCCCTCTTTGCAAATGACATGATTCTATATATAAGGGATCCAAAGAACTCAACCAAGAGACTATTGTAACTCATAGAAGAGTTTGGTAAGTAGCTGAATACAAAATCAATACACAAAAATCAACAGCCTTTGTATACACAGACAATGGCATGGCTGGAAAAGAACTTCTAAGATTGATTCCATTCACATTAGCTACAAAAAAAATCAAATACATTGGAATAAATTTAACCAAGGATGTCAAAGATCTCTATGATGACAATTATAAAACATTAAAGAAAGAAATAGAAGAAGATACAAAACAGGGGGCCGGCGCTGTAGTGCAGTGGGTTAATGCCCTGGCCTGAAATGCTGGCATCCCATATGGGTGCCAGTTCTAGTCCCGGCTGCTCTTCTTCCAATCCAACTCTCTGCTATGGCCTGGGAAAGCAGTAGAAGATGGCCAAAGTCCTTGGGACCCTGCACCCGTGTGGGAGATCCGGAAGAAGCTCCTGGTTCCTGGCTGCAGATTGGCACAACTCCGGCCTTTGCAGCTGATTGCAGAGTGAACCAGCAGATGGAAGACCTCTCTCTCCCTCTCTCTTTCTCTCTCTCTCTGCCTCTCCTCTTTCTGTGTAACTCTTTCAAATAAATAAATAAGTTTTAAAAGAAAAAGGGAAGATACAAAACAATGGAAAAATCCTCCATGTTCATGGATTGGAAGAATCAATATCCTCAAAATGTCCATTCTTCCAAAAGCAATCTATTGATTTAATGCAATACCAAACAAAATACCAAAGACATTCTTCTCATATCTAGAAAAAATGATGCTGAAATTCATATGGAAACACAGGAGACCTTGAATAGCTAAAGCAATCTTATATGACAAAAACAAAGCCAGAGGCATCTCAAGACATATTACAAGGCAGTTATAATCGAAACAGCCTGGCACTGGTATAAAAACAGATGGATAGACCAGTGAAAAAGAGTAGAAATTCCAGAAATCAATTCAAGCATCTACAACCAACTTATGTTTGACCAAGGAGCTAAAACCAATCCCTGGAGCAAGGACAGTCTCTTCAACAAATGGTGCTGGGAAAACTGGATTTCCACGTGTAAGGGTATAAAACAACACCCCTACCTTATACCTTACATGAAAATGCTTGAATGCTTCTGCCACACTCCTCCAATTTTGCCGTATCTGCTTCATCACTGCAAGGTTTCACTTCCAGTAAATGGAAGGCTTGACCGTGAGTGCAGGTTTTTGGCTTTCCTTGACTTACACCATGCAAGTCTTCCCTTAACCTTTGCACTTTCCTCCTCCCCATCAGCTCCGATGAGGTCAATGTCATCATCATCTTTACTGTCCGTGGCTCCACTTCCACATCTGCAGGGCCTTACTTGCCCAGAGCTTTTCTCCCTCCTGGGAGGCTGGCCTTCTCCTTCTCCTGAGACTTGACGTGATTATGCCAACGTAGGGCATGACACAAGTCAGCAGGCCCTGGCCCAGGGTCAGCTTGGAGCACTGCCACATCTGCTTGGGCTGGCACATACCCCTCGGTGCAGCTCTCGCCACCAGGTAATCGTTGAGCACCTGGAAGCCGGTGGGCCTTGTTAGGTCTCTGAAATGCATGGCGTCTGCTGTACCAGGGAGCTGGGGGCAGCAGAGCAAAGGTGTGCACACTATTGGCACCGGTGCTTAAAAGGAAAAAAAGGGCTAGTAGATATTTTTTTAAAAATACTTATTTATTTGAAAGGCAAAGGGACAGAGGGAGAGGCAGAAAGGTCTTGCATCTGCTGGTTCACGCCCCAAAGGCTCCCCAAAGAGCAGGGCTGTGCCGGATTGAAGCCAGGAGCCTGAAATTCCATCTGGGTCTCCCACATGCATGGCAGGGGCCCAAGGATATGGGCTACCCTCCACTGCCTTCCCAGACACCTTAGCAGGGAGCTGGATCAGAAGCAGAACAGCCTGGACTTGAACCTGTTCTCTGACATGGGATGCCGGCATCGCTAGTGGTGACTTAACTCACTGTGCGCATCACCAGCCCTGTGTAGTAGATATTATGAAACTGGCAGGAAAGCTGTGCAGCACTGTTGATCAGGGCATGTTCAAGCAGTTTTGGGCAGAGAGTGAACTGGGGTGCTCAGCCAGGCTCATAATTTTGGGATTCTTCACAATCAGGTGCCAACCATCTATGAAGGCTGGAACAAGTTCATGTTCACCCCCCTCTCTAGGCATAGGAGGCAGCCAGATGGCACAAAGCATTTTACTGTTTTAATTTATTTCTCTTCTTTAATGTCATTCTGGAAACCTTTTAATTTCATTTTATTTAACCTTTCTAAGAATCATGCAAATTGCAGGTGGACTGAAGACAGGCTGTAAGGTTTTCTTTTCCAGGTCATCCTCCAAATCCTATCCCCTCCCTTCAATCTCAACCAAACTCTCCTGAATGATGGTTGACTGTAACAGGCAGAAAATGGGAATTTAGAGTCAATACAGCAACCGATGAATTACTGTTCCAGCTTCCTGACAGATGTCGATAAAAAATAGGAAAAATACTCAGCTAATAGTTAAATGAGTAGAGATCATCCTAAAAAAGAGGAAAGAAAGAGAGAGAAAGAAAAAAGGAAAGAAGAAAGGAAGGAAGAAAGGGAGAGAGAAAGAAATCATTCTAAGTAGTTTGGGCCCAACTATTAGCCAAAGCAGAACTTTTATCAAGAAGACAAGTTGTTAACACAGAGAACAGTCTCAGGAAATGACTAATGGAAAGAAGATAAGAGATAGATAAGATAAGAGATTGACCCCTGCTGTTCTCTTTCATTTGTATATCAAAAGTTCATTGTGTATAGTTTTAGGGAAAAAGAAATATTCAAAAGTATTTATCCCAAACTCTCAAGTTCATTGAGGGAGGGAGGGAGAGAGGGAGAGAGGGAGAGAAGCAGGGAGAGACAGAGAAATGAGAATCTTTGAGTCATTGGCTCAGTCTGCAAATGCCTGCAACAGTTGAGGCTGGGTCAGGTCAAAGCCAGGAGGCAGGAACTCCG